CCAGGCTCTGAGAATCTACAGGTGTGCGGTGCGAGGCTGAGGGTGGTGTTATCCTGTCCGAGCCGTCTCGGGTTTATCCCAGGACGAATTGAATGGCTTTCTTGTGCTTGAAAGCGCTGGGTGTGCAGCCGGGGCGTAGCTGCTGTGTGGTGACTTGCTCCAGGTTAGTGGGGTTTAGAAGACAGAATTAGAGATGTGACCCCGTGTGCTGTTTGTTTATTTTCTGTTTGCTTATAGCTTTTAAATTTGGGGTTTGGTAGACTTTATCCAGTGTGAGCCTTGAGATAGCAGAATGATTAAGGAGTAGTAAAATAGTGTTTGTGTACTGTCAGGCTATATGCTAATTGATTAAAAGGACAGTTTTAATAAAATCTTAGTTTTTAAAGCTTTAATGAGTTGCGATCCTTCCAGAACTCACAGTAGGGAATAAGTGGCCAGAAGAAAAACCACCCCAGAATAAGCCTCATAAGCTAAAAGACCAGACAAGAGGATTAATTTGTCTTTTTTTTCTGTCTAAACATGTTTGAAAAGCCTTTGAAGTTAAAAAGTGGGGAAAAAAAAAAAAAATCTGGAGAGCACATTCAGGTACTTATGTCTGTAACAACTGTCCTGGCAGGAAGGAAGGGATTTTTTTTCTTTTAAGACCAAGCGCTTTTATGATGTTCCTGCAAACTCTTGCAGTCATCCGGATCCTCGTTTTGACTCTAGAAATGTAGGTTTGGGGAGGGTGGGGAGAAGGAATGGACCTATTGCAACAACAGCTCTCAGAAGTGTAGTAAGTACAGTGTCCTCCTGAGCCAAAGTGCAGCAAAACCCGCATCCCTGGATCTGCTTGGACTTGTACGTTTCAACGGGCTCATGAGAGATAAGATCAGAAATTATGTGTTTTTAAAGATTCCAGGAAAATTTTGCTGCCTTCAACAAATAATACAAACTTCTTAGGCCTTTTGGCAGGGGATATACTAAATAGTAACTTCTGAGGCCCAAAAATTGATCACATACATTTTGCTTAATTAAGTGTTGTCACTGTGATTATAACGAAGGCTACTTGAATAAATAATTTTTATTTGGAGCTGATAAACATGAGAGGTACGTATTTTTACTCTGTTGCTTCATATTTTGATATATTTTTAGTGTTTTAGCATGTAAAAAGAATAGTTGAGCAATAGAGAGCACCTAATTTCTTAAGAAAATGTGATTGATTTAGCCACTCTGGAAGAGCTTCATTTCCCAATGTATGTCTAACAGTTTAAGAGGATGTTGTTACGATTGATTAGCGTCTGATTGACAAAAGACAGCGAGAGGTTAGTGCTGCAGAAGCAATGTCTACCGTTTTCTCTTCAGAAAATGAGATTTCCATTGTTTACATATAATTGAAATCAACTGTATGAATAGATAATTTTTTTCTAAATATTTTAAGGTAAATTCTGATTTCTGCCTTATTTCTTCACTCCTGCAGGCAAGGACTTAGTTATGATGCTAGGAAGCGGTCACACGCTCGGCAGGGCTGTGATGGACAAGGCGCACGGTGTAAATGTGTTAGATGAGCTGGTTGAGTGCTTGAAGGAGGCTGGGTCAGCTATTAGATTTTTTTTTTTTTTTTTTTTTTTTTTTGTCTAGACTATGGGGGCTGGATTTAATTCCAGTTCTACCAAAGACTTCTTGTCGTAGCAAAATGACTTCCTCCTCATTGCTCAGGTCGCCATCTGGAAATACAGCTTACTCCACGCTGTTGTGGGGGTGAATCTTCTCAGTGATATCCCCTTCCCCCTTTTGAAAGGGAGAATGAACAAGTATAAGAGATTATAATAAGGTAGAGTCTATAGCTTTAATGTAAAGAATCTACAAACAACAAATAGTTGGGTTATCCATTCAAGTCCAGAAGTCTGTATTTTTTTTTTTTCTAAAGGCAAAATTACCTTCATCAGAACAGTGTGACTGCGTGTCCTGCCGTTACTGTGCGGGGTTTGAAGTGCATTGCCACGATTGATTGGGCTGCAGTCTCGTAACAAGAGTACTCGCCTAGCAAAATACCTGCTTAACTGCAATTATTTTTCTTGTTACAGCTTGAAATGTACCACTTTAAAGTAGAACTACATTAAGTGGATATAGCTGCATTCACCTGTGGATCTGCTGCTGATGTGGGTGGGGTATGTTAGCTGGAAGCACCGTGAGAAATTGAGGTGGTAATATTCTGTTGCCACTGATTGGGGACTCACTCACATGCTCTGTAGAAGCCACTACATAAATTACGTCGTCTGGTTTGCTATTCTGTAGCTCAGTTCCCTGGACCTTTACTGTTGTGTCTCAACCACTGTTTTACAGACCAAAAAAGGAGCGAGGGAGGGACCAGCACCTTGGTGTTTAGATTGCCGTAGCTGTTAAACTTGCTGTGCCAGAAGTTTCAGTCAACACTTTTAAAGCAGAGAAGCCCCCCCACCTTATACAACAGTTGATGGTGCCAGATTTTTAATAATATGCACACAGGCTTAACATCACAGTAGGGTTTAGAACAATAGTTGAGTCACTTCCTCATTGTGTGCCTGCCAAGGCCTAGTACTCGCTGCCGGATTTTCATAGTAACAGGTGACATCATTCCTGCCGAACTCGCTGAAAGGGTAGGAGCTCCCCGGGGTGTAACTAACGCAGTCACCTGGTGCAGAAGTACAAATAGCTTGCAGTTGTTGTAGTTTCTTGGGTTTCTGCCTTAAAAAAAGAAAGAAAAAGCTTTAAAATTTTATTACTGTTCAGCAATCCATTTTTTTATGAGCAACCCCAAAAAATTGATTAAACTTGTCAGCTGATGTGTATAATAATGTGTTATGGCTCTTTGGAATAGGCTGATAGAAACGCACCTGTGAATGCCCGGTGCTCGTGCTTCTAAGAAAGTCAGGTTAACGTAAGGCTTTGGAATTCCTCCTGCTCCATGGACAGTTGATAAGTTATCTTCATATTTTGTAAAATGGCACTATTTAAAATGGATATTTATCTTCAAACATCTGTGGAGATGCTATTACATGGCGAGCTGATCGGACTTGCGTTCGTCGTGCTAATGGGCTGTTGCACGCTGCTGCAGTTTCAGTTTTTTCCTTTTTCCCTCTGCTTCTTTTGCACGTCCTATGCCAATGGTTCCTCTTGGCTGATTCTTTCCATTAAAAGCCAGTACTTGGAGGTAGCATCAATAAAAAGTCCTACCATTTAGACAGTGTTTTGCCAACGCACTTTGAAGATAATGAAACAAAGCGTGTATCATTGAGTCCAGCTCCGTACTGCTGAGGGGAAATGTGAAGTGGCTGACACTTACTTTCGAATTTAACTCTTGCAATTGGCTGTTAAATTTTAATGTGCAATACTGAAACTAGCTGGCGTGGAATCTAAATGAGACTTTCAGCAAAGCTTGTTTTGATTTTCTTATGAGTTACAGCTTTAAAATGCAACAGCAACTATTTTTATCAAATTTAATAAAGACTTAGCTTCCTTCTTACTGTGGACAGCTTCCTCATGTCTTGTCAGAGAATTAAGCTACAGATACCAGATAAATTGCATTAAATGTCGAAGTGCAAAAGAGTTATTACAATACTGTATTGATAGACAAAGGTCTCGAATGACTCTTTGCTCCCATTTACTAGCCAGTTAGAATTTTCAGAAATAAATTTCATCTTGTCTAATCCAATACCTTTAAAAACTTTGGGGGGGTTTAGTACATCTGATGACTTTGGGATAGGGAAACTACCTCACAGCACGCATCTCAAATGATTTGTTGATGTGCTGATCACTGCAGCCATTGTGGTGGTCCCTTTCCCACCTTTTCCACTCAAAGTTACCATGGATTATGGTCTGCTTCTCTCAGGTTTTAGTGAGATCTTGGCTAAACAAGTCAAAGCATCAAGTGACTGCATGAACGAGGTTTTGGGGGTGTGGGGACCTAGCCATCTTGGGGGTTCCTGACAGCATCGTGGCACAGTGCTGAAGCTGGCCTGAGGGGCAAGGGCTGCTCTAGCCACGCCGAAATCTGGTTTGTGACATTCACGCTTCTTGAAGCTCTGTCCTGGTGGTAAACACACTGTACAGCATTGCCAGAAAGGAGCTATTTTTAATGTGCGAAAGACTTGGTGTGTAAAAGTTGCTGATGTAGCACCCAGTGTTGCAGACCTTCGTGGTTCTGGCAGTCAGTGTGTCGTCCTGGAAAGAGAGCTCGCCTGTTTTGTGTGTGCTGTTTGCACACTTGATCTCTGAAGTGTGCTCCTCTGAAAACTTGAGCTGCGTTACTAGTTTTGATGGGCTTCTGTAAGGTTTTCGTGATAACTTAGAGGCCTCATTTTTTAAATGAAATTGTTGTAGCTAAAACAAATTTAAAGTCATGTAATAGTGACTGTCATACCTGATGTATTTTGCAAGTATGTTTGTTTGATTCATTGTGTAATATGGTTGGTACATCTCAAACAAGTGGTACTGCCTGGAGAGTTAGACACTCCGCTGAAAAGCACTTTATCTCTTGCACTGTTTCAGATTTTTTCTTTAATTAGGCTTATATGAGAACAGCTTGCTTTATTACCTGCCCTCTGTTGTCCAAGTGTCATGCTCTGATACCTTGGTGGCTAGAGAACAGCAGAAATAGGTGGGGAAAGTCCTATACAATAAAGACCCTGCTTTCAGGTAGATTCCTCGAGTAAAACGAGGGATGAAAAAACAGCGTTTGATACTGCTAGAATTGTTTAAACAGAGTTTTGTGTGTTGAGTAAGACTGTATGGAAAAAATGTAATCCACTACAGGAAAGCAGTCTCCTTTTACTAGCTTTTTTTTCTACTCATCAGTTGGATTTTAAATAATCCTGTAAAATAGGAGCTAATGAAGCAAATATTGATTGTATAACTGGTATGTGTTTCAGCTCTACCAGCATTTTTCTTTCCTTTTGAGTTTTTCTTAATTGAACACAACTTTTTTGCTTTGAGGAGTGGGAATTACTGTCCTTGGCTTTATGTTCTGGAGTCTATTTTGATTGTATAACTTAAGCACTGAGCTTGTATTTCAGGTTAATGGACCTGATGGCATTCTGCAGAATGGAGCTGTGGATGATAACGTGGCTAAAACCAGCCAGCTTCTGGCAGAACTGAATTTCGAAGAAGATGAAGAAGATACCTATTACACAAAGGATCTTCCTGTGCATGCTTGCAGGTGAGACCTAGTCTTTGCCCCAGGCTTCTTATTTCCAGAGGGCAGGAGCGCTTTGTGTGAGTGAAAGGTGTGTGCTAAGAGGATTTTGGGAATTTGAGAGCAACTTCCTTGGAGGCAGCCACATACTGGTAGGCAAATGGTGCCCTCTGGTGAGCTTTTGTGTACGCTCGTTGCTGCCACGTCCAGTAGGATGTCCAGAGGAATAAAAGGCTAATCCAGACGAGGGCGATAACAGTGGGAAGCGTTCAAATACTTGTGACTCAGAACAGATGTTTAGCTCGCATTTAATACTTTCACCAACACTCATGTTCCCTGATCTTCCCGTTATTTCTGTACACTACTAGGTAGTTTAAATCTTGCATTTGAATTTTCCTATAAGCAAGTACACAATCACTTCCTGGTTTGTTGTTTTTTTTTCATTTTGAATTCCAGTTACTGTGGTATCCATGACCCTGCCTGTGTGGTTTACTGTAACACCAGCAAAAAGTGGTTCTGTAATGGACGTGGAAATACATCTGGCAGGTAAATGGTCAAATGATGGACATAACAATGACCATCTTGTTTTAGAGTGTTTGGTTTGAAGTGGTATGATGGCTATGGCTTACATTTTGGTGGTAATTGAAATCTAGTGACTTAAATGTGAGCCTCCAACCTCCTCTTTAGCTTTCCTGCTGTTACTAACTTAAACCTCGACCTCAGCAAAACTTGAATCACTTCTCTGAGGTGAGCTTGCTGCTTCTTCCCCCATCCTGTGTTCATGCAAAGCACAGTAGATCTGATGCTCTTGACCTGTGGAGCTTCAGGAGGCTTCTTTCAATTATCAGTAATGTAAAAAGAATTTTTTACACACTTCCTATTTTCACACTCATCTACCTCAAAGCATTCATGCACTGAGAAACCATTGAAGCTGTGTTAGCAGTATTTTTGCTTGGATAAAAAGAGCAAGATCTTACCAATGTCTGCTGCAGTGTAAATAGGTTTTGTTTGTCTCTTAACTGAGCTGATATATTAAGTAGGGCTAAATCTGAGTTTCCTGTTAACTTCATATAAATGTATGTCCTCTCTGGTTTCAGCCACATTGTTAATCATCTTGTGAGAGCCAAGTGCAAAGAGGTGACTCTCCATAAAGATGGACCTCTAGGAGAGACTGTCTTGGAATGTTATAACTGTGGATGTCGTAATGTGTTTCTCCTTGGCTTTATTCCAGCTAAGGCAGACTCTGTGGTTGTTTTGCTGTGCAGGTGAGAGAATGCCTTTGTTGGCATGTTTGTGTCAAGTCTGTTGCATAACCTTATTTCTAAAGGGCAAGGCTTGCTTTCCTTTTGTACCAAAATATATTTTATACTCTGATTTGCCACCATTTTTCCTTTAAACGATAGTACAGACTTCATGAACTGTATACAAGTAGATAATGCATAGAATCATAGAATGTTTTGGGTTGGAAGGGACCCCTAGAGGTCACCCAGTCCACCCCCCCTGCAGTGAGCAGGGACACCTTTAACCAGATCAGTTTGCTCAGAGCCCCGTCCAACCTGGTCTTGAATGTTTCCAGGGATGCAATAAAGAAACATCCTGTTATACTGGGCAAATGTCTTGCATCTGTTAAAAAAAAAAAAAAGTGTTTCTCCCAAATGAAGCAGTACTTAATGGAAGGAAGGTGGGTTTCCCCTTTGTTAAACTGTGATTTTCACATTGTAAGAGTAACAGATCAGTTCAGAAAGTTACTCTGGAGCCCTACTGGGGTAGTGTCTCTATTACACGGTATGCTGTTCTGTCAGCTCATAGAATAGTTTGAAGACGACAGTGAATTGGAAATTGTTCTCTGATAAGTGCTATTCAAAATCATTATTTTATGATTGTATGTATTTTTATTAAATGCTGTCACTTACCATGTATTTGACAGTAGAAGGTGTGTTTCTACAGAATGAGTTCTCCTATTTGTTTAAACAACAGATGGGAAGTAATCCCGAGTGTTTTCTGATATATATATGTGTGCATAATCTTAATGGACTGTGACCACTTTCAAAGGTGAGTGTCATATTTAATATTTTAGAAGCTGAAATTTTCAGTTCTAGAAACACCCAAGAAATACTACTTATGATACCGAGCCTTCCCTGTGTTGAATTAGCAAATACAGGAGCTAAAAAATTAATTGGCCCAGCAGGCTAGGGTTGTTTTGGGTTTTTTCCTTTTAAGTGAGATGCTCGAATTGATTTAAGAGCACGATAAACCTATTTTTACACTTTACGTGGTAGACTTTTTCTTACACTTGTCTAATTTAATAATTTTTTTCAATGTTTTGGTTGTGCAGGCAGCCATGTGCCAGTCAGAGCAGTTTAAAGGATATTAACTGGGACAGTTCACAGTGGCAGCCTCTTATCCAAGATCGCTGTTTCCTTTCATGGCTGGTAAAGATTCCATCTGAACAGGAACAGTTGAGAGCACGTCAGATTACAGCTCAACAGATCAACAAACTGGAAGAACTTTGGAAGGTATGTGCTACTTCTCAAGTACTGCTTATATTTTACCAAGTGCTACTTTTGTGTTTTTATGAAGGAGGGACAAGACTGTTCTAGCAACTGGATAAAGTAGGGGAACATACTTAAATCACATGAGGTCTGAATCTTGCAAATTTGACAAGCAATGCAACTGGGAGTTGATCGAAGGATTCAGGAGATCATTTATCAAAGTAGGAAGGTTTCACTGTTAGGGTCTTAAGCTCTGTGCAAGTTGCGCTGTTAGGCAATCTGTAAAAAACAACTTTCCTTCGCCATATCAAGTCTTTCACTTGTTTCTGCTTTTTTACATGATGACTAGCTGGGTGGGGAACTGCTAGTCCACACTTGGTATTCAGGTCTTGCTTTTTGAGAAGTTTTTCTGCACATCCTTTAATGCATAACAAACCTGACTGGGTGTGAGTGAGCATGACATGTATAATGTCTTGGTGTGGTTTTAACAGGTTGTTACACCTTGATTGCAGGTTATTATACAACTTCCTGTAGTAGTAAAACTACTAAAAACCAGTTGTTGGTCCTGTTGCACAGCGAGAGCTGTGTACTTGTTTGTACTTAAAGCTTTGAAACAAAACATCTGTGCTTTAAATTCTAGGAAAATCCATCTGCAACCCTTGAGGACTTAGAAAAGCCTGGTGTTGATGAAGAACCGCAGCATGTCCTGCTTAGATATGAAGATGCTTATCAGTACCAAAATATATTTGGGCCTCTAGTCAAGCTTGAGGCAGACTATGACAAGAAACTCAAGGAGTCTCAGGTAATATGCTTGAAATATGTCTGTTTGAGGGGGCTTCTGACCAGTACCACACAGTTTCTGTTAATGGCATAAAAGGAAGGCTCAAGTGCAATAAATGTCTTTATTACAGTACTATAGTCGAGTCTCCATTCCTGGAGGTATTTGGAAGATGGGTGGACAAGGTGCTTAGGGACATGGTTTAGTAGTGGACAGGTACGGCTGGACTTAATGATCTTAAAGGTCTTTTCCAACCAAATGATTCTCTGATTCTGTTGTATCACAGTAATTACAGTAGCAATGGTGATGTGCAGGGAGAGGAAAGAAAAATCCTCAAACTGGGGTTTTAAAAAGGACCTTGAAGCGCTTGGGAACTTCCCTCTTTTCTGTGTTCAAAGTTTTGTCTTTCCAAGAACCATATTCTGTCATAGAGCTGTGCAACTTGGCCCTCATTTTACCTCATAACCTGTAGCTACCTTTGTCAGTCAGAGTTTCTAGTCAAACATGAATTACATGAGGTCATGCAAGCGCTTGGTGAATGTGTTTAAAAGTGGAGGGAGGGAATAACGCAGATGGTGGTTAGGACTTTGTTTTGCATTAAGTAACTCATGTAGAACAGAATTATCTTCTTACGGACTGAGTTCACGCCATCTGCAGAACAGATACAGATCTTTGTCTACACTGTGACACTGGAGCAGCAAGTTTTATATTTCTCTACTATTTTGAAGTATAGGACAGCGAGGCCTGTGGTAGTTGTCAAACAGCGCTCTCAGAACATAATAAATGCCTTTTTCTTTACCATCAGACCCAAGATAACATCACGGTCAGATGGGACCTGGGCTTGAACAAGAAAAGAATTGCTTATTTCACTTTGCCAAAGACTGATTCAGGTAACGACAGCTTGATTGCATGTTTTGTCTGGGGTTTTTTTATGCCTGGTGAATAACATCAGTGTTTAAAGAACTGTGATGATATAAGATGTAAGTTTTTTGTGTTGGGGGATGGTTGGTCATTGGTGAATATTCTGAGAGTGTTTTTTCCTTCCTTTGTAGATATGCGTCTTATGCAAGGAGATGAGATCTGCTTGAGGTATAAGGGAGACCTGGCTCCTTTATGGAAAGGAATTGGTCATGTTATCAAAGTTCCTGATAGTATCCTTTACTTAGGGAGCCTTCAGGAAGGCTTAACCGAAGGTTGAAATCTCTCCGAGAGATCTCTAAATATGTATAAAAGTAATTTTGAGATAATTCTAATTTGTCATGGGGGTTTGCTAAAAATATCAAAATTGGGGAAAATAAAATTCAAATTTTTGCTATAGATTACTACTTAACGAGGTTCTACAGATTATGGTGATGAGATAGCCATCGAGCTGAGGAGCAGCGTTGGAGCGCCTGTGGAAGTTACTCATAACTTCCAAGTGGATTTTGTATGGAAGTCTACTTCATTTGACAGGTATTGAGAAAGCACTTCAGAACTTGGCGGACAGTGGGTGCAGTTAGTGTGTATATTTTTCTTTACCTTCAGCGGGGATTTTTGAACAAGAAAAGCTGTAGTGTTTCGTGACACTAGCAACCAGAAATATGAGTATGCCCAATGTATCAAGTCTATGAACACGATACCTGGTTCATAAAAGCAACAGGCCTAACTTTTACTAGAAACAGAATTAATCTGAAAGCCATCAAACTGTCAATTTGTCTCATTTTGAAGGCACGCTTAAGGTTTGTTGCAAATCCATCAAGGGGGGAGAGTTTACCTTATGTTTAGCAACACTTGGAATATAAGAAGAAAAACTATTTTGCAGTTCAACTTCCTGAACACCATTCCCTTGTGAAGTGGTCTCTGGCTTTAGTTGGCATTCCTAAACTTGGAATCGCTTTAACTAGCTGAAATTTGAAGGCATTTGAATCAGCTGTGAGGTCAGTAGGCGTCAGATGTGTCTGTACTGCATTTTGTAAGACAGGAGTTTGTTTATTATCCTGAGAGATACGCTGGGTACAAATTTTCCTCAGGTCTTGCACCTAAAATTACTGTTGCAGGCTCTGTCAAAGGCTGGTGTTTCTCTACACAAATTCCTGTTTATAATACTTCATAGTATTCACACAGGGAAAAACAAGATCTGTGTTTTCAGAGTTGCAATTTTTGTCTCTTAATTCTGTTAGCAAATGTTCCACATTGTTATCTTTTTTTTTCTGAGGTATATTTTAATTTGTGCATGATGTCTAATTAACCTTTGTGTAGGACACTTGCGGACAGTTGTATCTGAGGTCATAGCATTTTTTTTTCTGTCCTTCCCTTATTTCAGAATGCAGAGTGCTTTAAAAACATTTGCTGTGGATGAGACTTCAGTGTCTGGGTACATCTATCACAAACTGTTAGGTCACGAGGTAGAAGATGTAATTATTAAATGCCAATTGCCAAAGCGCTTTACAGCACAAGGACTTCCTGATCTCAACCATTCTCAGGTAACCTCATCTCCTTTTTACTACACACAACGAATATGACAAAGGATTTATGAATAGAGGTTGAACAACTTCGTAACTTCCTACGCATTGAATGCTAAATAGCAATAAAAATGAATTTTATAGGTTTATGCTGTGAAGACTGTCCTGCAGCGTCCTCTGAGCCTTATTCAGGGTCCCCCTGGTACCGGAAAAACAGTGACATCAGCCACAATCGTCTATCATCTGGCTAGACAGGGCAATGGGTAAGAACTGTTCTCTTTAAATCTTTATGTATGAGGTGAATGGTTGAAGAATCAACTTGATTTTAAAAATGAATTGGTGTCATTGAACTAGAAAGGTTTTATAGAAGTATATTTTTCTGGGAAGACTTGTGCTTATTTCAGAAAATATTCTTCTCCAGCATATTCTTAGGGAACATGTGTCGTGACGTGATTTTTGTTACTAGTCTAGTGGAAAAAAGTTCACAGCTCGTTGAGACTTTTTGTTTCATTTTTTTTTTTCAAGGCCTGTGTTAGTCTGTGCTCCGAGTAATATAGCTGTAGATCAGCTGACTGAAAAGATCCATCAAACTGGACTGAAAGTGGTTCGTCTGTGTGCTAAGAGTCGTGAGGCAATTGACTCTCCTGTGTCCTTCCTGGCATTGCATAACCAGATCAGAAACATGGATAGGTAAGAAGTGGTTGAGGGAGGCAGGGGACCAACAAAACCAATCTAAGTGTTGTGATGGACACAACCAATTAACTCTGTAATGATGACAACATGTATTTGCTTGATGGGATAAGTTTTTTGGTTATATACATGTCACTTATTTCTACAAATGAGTTCCACTGTAATCCTGCTAAGTTGTTAATTGGGACATAAAGCAAAATTCCTTTTTTTTTTTTTTTCAGCATGCCAGAGCTTCAAAAACTGCAGCAGCTTAAAGATGAAACTGGAGAACTGTCATCTGCCGATGAGAAACGTTACCGTGCGCTGAAACGAACAGCAGAGCGTGAATTACTTATGGTAAGGTTCCATCAGTTCTAGCATCTCAAATGATTGCCTTATCCCACTTGAGGTTTAGTTGCAATTTGCTGGCGGAGATCAGAGTACGATTTAACTTTTGGGGGGATTCCTGGAATGGTATTGAATACTTGTCTGTGTATAAATATTGTCAATTGATATCCTTCTTGATTAATTTCAGCTGCATTTCTCTCTCAGAATGCAGATGTGATCTGTTGCACGTGTGTGGGAGCTGGTGATCCAAGGCTTGCAAAAATGCAGTTCCGCTCCATTCTGATCGATGAAAGCACACAGGCTACCGAGCCAGAGTGCATGGTGCCAGTTGTCCTGGGAGCAAAGCAGGTAGGAGCTGTTGGATTTCATTAAAGAAAATAAGTGTTTATAAACACAGGAAGTAGGATCAAGCAGTAACATTCACAGTGTAGGTACATGGGGCTACAAAGTCCTTTCCTTTCATGGAAGATGCTTCCATCATATAGATCCAGTTGACTTTATTTTGTGTTAGTCCTGTTGTTTTTCTGTTTCCATGGCATAATCTTTGCCTTTGTTGGCCTGGTTGGAAAAATCTGGAGACTGACTAAGATTTTATTTGAAAATGATCAGCTGAATACCTAATTGACACTAAAGGTTTATAAGCCTTAGATTAGATCTGAAGCTTGTTACAAATCAGACTGATTAGTTCCAAATGCATTTTATAGTAGGATATTGCTATCGTTTCTAGCTATTGGGCAAGTTTCAGAAAATACCAACTGAGATCCAACTTTCTTTTCCATAGCTTATTCTTGTGGGTGACCACTGCCAGCTTGGTCCTGTTGTGATGTGTAAAAAAGCTGCCAAGGCTGGCCTGTCTCAGTCTCTCTTCGAGAGGCTTGTGGTGCTGGGGATTCGGCCGATTCGCCTGCAAGTGCAGTATCGCATGCATCCTGCACTCAGCGCTTTTCCATCCAATATCTTCTATGAGGGTTCACTCCAGAATGGTGTTACTGCAGGTAAGCAAGAATAGTGCTTCTGCAAATTACTTTCTCTTCCATTCATTAAGGATCAAAGGAAAGATTCTTTAATCTAGATGAGGTTTTTTTAATACATTTACTTAAAAAGAGAGTTGCCACTGCACTTACAGTTTTGAGTCTTTAAGGTGCTTTGATATGAAAATGAGTTTTCTTGCTCGTAAAGCAGTGCTAACTCTTTTACTTGCTGTTTTTGTGCTCTTCAGCAGACCGTGTGAAAAAAGGTTTTGATTTCCAGTGGCCACAGCCAGATAAGCCAATGTTTTTCTATGTTACACAAGGACAGGAAGAAATTGCCAGCTCAGGCACCTCTTACTTGAACAGGTAAACAAAATCAATAGTGAGATATAAACTTACACTGGGAGGAAGTATTTTTAAGTATCTCAAATGTAAGGGAGATTGTTAAATGAATCTGTTAATAATCCTTGGAGACAGTCATGATTAATGAAGTCAAGGGAAAGTGCAATATACAGTTCCCGCTGCAACCCAAATATCTAAGCATTTCTGTGCTGTTCAGAATCTCTGCAACAAAATTTATAGCATTCTATATTCACCATAACTTGTGGCACCTTGTGATGTGAAGGCATAACAGCTAAATAAGGGCTTGTGCTTTTGAAGAAGAGTTACTCTCTGTGAAGGTGGTATCTGTGCTTCAGATGAGCCAACCCACAGACCTCAAATACAGTGTGTGCTGGGATACAGTCCTTCAGTGCTATCGATTCTTATGTTCTGCAGTGTTCCTTCTAAACTAATAAAATGCTGTTTCCTATTAACAGCTATGATTGAAATTACTTGTGTACCTTTTTTAATAAAAGCTGCCCTCAAGGATAGTGCAGGCTAAGCCACATTTTGGAGTTGATTTGCCCCAGGCTCCCTTTACTGTAAACGAAGAGAAAAAGGCATCTCCAGTGGGAGCAGTTCAGATCTTAAGTGGGTCTGAGTTGTTCTGTGGAGGTGTGTGTTTTCCTTCACTGGTAGTGTAAGGAGCATGGGACAATTTAAGTGCCTAATACGTGGGATGAATTTGAGCCAGCAAGTAAGCTGACTGCAGTTGCAGCAGGAAATGCTGATCAAGGCCCATTTCGAAGCCAAAATTCCAGTAGGTCCTGAAGCAGAGTCCCAAGTCTTAGATTTTTGGTAGGGGTGTAAAAGGGATGGGAATTTAACTTTCTTTTTTCTGCCCATTCCAACTTCTTTTTCAAAGAGTGAGCTTGAAACATTTTGCTTGTCTTGGTTGTATGCATTTGTTCACGTGCCTGGAAGGGAAACCAGACCAACTTATGAAAAATATCTGCTGTGATATTTTTAATCTGTCTGTTTCATGAACAGCATGTGCAAGACTGCTGAATGCGGCAAGCCAGATTGTGCACAAACAAATGGCACAATAGTTGGCTGACAGGGAGATTGGCATTAAAAACATTCTATATTTAAAACTTTAAGATAAAGCAACTGAAGGATCTGTTTGCACAGCAGGCTGGAACATTTTTAATGATCTCACTCAAAGTACATGTGTACATTTAACTCTACTAAGAAATTCCATTTCAGAATGACGACCACTATTAATTTTGCTATTCCAGGAAGTGTAGTCGTGTAGTTCTGAGAAAGTGGAGGTGTATATTAAGGAGAAATTTTCCGTCTGCGACCTTTGTTTGAGGTGTTGGCTCTTGCCCATGTTCCTATGGCTGAGAAAATCTATGCATGGCCTAAGTCAAGAGGTGAATGTTCCTGCAAAGCTTAAGCCAAATTAATTGGAGTGCTCAAGCAATGCAGTGTCAAATTGGTCTTTTCCTTGAGGTAGCCTTTCTGACAAAAGGCTAGCACAGCATATATGTTCAAGTTTTTTAGACCCATTAATTTACAAAAAGGTAGACCTAATGCCTTGATTCCCCTTACATAAACAAATCTCTCTCTCTAGGACGGAAGCTGCCAATGTGGAGAAGATAACTACAAAGCTATTGAAAGCTGGTGCCAAACCAGATCAGATTGGCATTATTACTCCTTATGAAGGTCAACGATCCTATCTGGTGCAGTACATGCAATTCAGTGGTTCCTTGCATACAAAGCTCTACCAGGTACGGAGTCATTGCACAAACAAGAACACTTGGATACAGAGAAGCTAGAAAAGTCAGATGTTGTGAAACTTCACAATATTTTCATTTTTAGGCTGGCTTCTTAGGCGTCAGTCTGTGTTTATTTAGTAATTTTAGAGCGCTTTAGTTGATTGTAGTTAAAATAGACCAGGGAGAAGAGTTTAGGAGGTAAGTGTCAGGGGAGCAGTTGGCCAGATGAAGGAGAAAGCCCTGTTGAGGTCTGTGTTGAAAGGAAGGCTTCAGTGAGTCCATCCTCTGAGGACTCATTGAGGCACAGAAGGGAGAGGTCATTAGTGCTTCAGCTGTGGAAAAGCTTCAGTCAGCTTGTGTCTTAGATCAAGGCATCAAGCCAAGAGACACGCAGGAAACCAAGCTCCATAAATTTTGATGGTCATACTACTTATTTGCTTGGGAATATGTCCTCCCAACAGTGGAACTCCTCTACCAAACATTAAAATTTGTTGCTACAAGCAGGGCGGTTGTACGTTTACTGTAGTCTGTTTTGCAATATTGAGAACTTGGTCAGTGTTTTCACTGAAGGAAAACTTGGTGGAAATACTTCTACTTTTGCCAGGAATGATCTGTCCTTCTGATTCAGGTTTCTTGGGAGCTGTGAGCAGCAGTGCTAATTTGGAGCTGTCTTACTACGAGGTTTTGGAATAGTCAGAAGTCTTTTTGGCAACATACCTAGAAAAGGGATGCTTTCCATAGTGCAAATGCCAGTTTGGGGGAAATATGAGAACCATAAAGTAGTGAGCATAAAAGTAATTTGTCCTCAACTGAGACTGTCTGTTCTCCTTTAGGGAAACTATTTAGTGACCAGTGGAATTAATCAAATGATTTGTCATTACAAAAATAACATATTTGTCAAATGATGGGAACTGCTAGTGCACAGCCAATGCATTTTGTAATGCCTGTTGGTAGCATAACTGTTTTGCACTGTGCTTCCGTGATTTACATGTTTTCCTCTGTTTCAGGAAGTGGAAATTGCAAGTGTGGATGCCTTCCAGGGACGAGAGAAGGACTTTATTATCCTCTCTTGTGTGAGGGCCAATGAACACCAAGGAATAGGGTTTCTGAATGACCCCAGGCGTCTTAACGTAGCTCTTACAAGAGCAAGGTAAAGTAAAATTGGGCAAATTTTTATTCTAGAGACCTAATTTGGTCTGCTAAAGCATTGATACAGTCGGACTAACAAAAGGTCTGTGTTTTGTGGGGAGCAGTCCCATTCCCCGTCCGGTTTAAGGGAGCCTTGAATGATTTCCACATTCCCTACAATTTACAAGAGCGTTCTCAGCCTGATCAGTATTACCACTTTGGCATCGTTAGCTTGTAGAAGCTGCCATGTCATTCCCCTTTGTTTGCAGACAGAACCCTTCCTTTCATCCACTTCTTTATCCCTTCCAGGAACCTTTTTTTTTACCATTTTGCTTCTCTTAAAATGGATTTGATTACTGAGAAGGGTAGTGTGGAGTCAATATTATCTTGGTTGGCTTCCTTTGGTTTCTGTAAGTTTTAAGCCAATACCCTGTGGTTGGTTGAGTACAGATGTGTTTGGCAAGCCTGCAAAAGGAAACTTGTGATTATTGAGAAACTGGCTGCAGCAATCTCCTTTCAAGTGTTTTGTCATACTACAGAAATCATCTGCCGCAAACAAAACAATTGAGTCAGGGTCTCCTGCACCCACTGTCATGGGCTGCTGTTAATATGCCTGGATTTACTGCAAGAGAAATGGACTTCAAGGTTGTTCTGACATTAATATGTAACATGGCTTTATTTTTAGTCAATCTTAGTTTCTCTGTCTGCTGTTGTACAGGTATGGAGTGATTATTGTTGGGAACCCAAAAGCGCTGTCCAAACAACCACTTTGGAATCACCTGTTGAATTACTACAAGGAGCAGAAGGTTCTGGTGGAGGGACCACTGAATAACCTCCGGGAAAGCCTCATGCAGTTCAGCAAGCCCCGGAAACTGGTCAATACCATCAACCCAGTAAGCTGACCTCTCCTCTCTCTCATGTTTGCAGAGTGAAGTAGATTGATCGGTTACAAATGGGTGGGATAAACAGTCCCCACATAGCCTCACACCCCCATAACTTCCCATTTTTTGTTGCCTAATTAATGCAATGTGACCCAAATAAGCTGCTTCAGCTGTTTCTAAGTTGAGAGCTTGAAGAAAAGCCTTTTTGGTGCTTTTTTTATTGCTCTTTATTTGCTGCAAAATTTTATGAGGGGGGGTAGCTTCTGAGGTGAACGAAACAAACTGTCTTGTGTAGAAACTGCAAGCTCATTAGGCATGTGTGCTTAATAGCACTGTACTTTAATCCTCAACCTACAAGTTTTATACTTAGTCCTTTAACATAAGTAGTCATTTGGGCGGGGGGAAAGCTTGTCAGCCATCGCAAGGGCAGTCGTAGGAACAGAGCAAGTGAAGAACTATCATCAGAACCTCAAAATAGACTGAAAGTTCATTAAGTGTCTCACAGTTTGAGATAGATTGCCTGTAGAATGGTTTTTTTTCTTGTTGTCATGATGTAATGGAAATGGTAGTTGGATGTTTTCCATGTATTAGAACTAGTTAAGTTTCCTCAGCACTTGTAAAGTATGCATTATCTGTGAAGTTTAACTGGATTTTTACCCAAAATAACTTATACTGAAGTTGCAGTTCAAAGTTTTCTATGCAAAGGATTTGTCTAACTCCTATAATGCTTCCAGGGTGCCCGTTTCATGACTACTGCCATGTATGATGCACGTGAGGCTATTATTCCAGGATCTGTCTATGACCGGAGCAGTCAAGGTAAACAAAGCTATCAAAATTAACACCTTTAGAGATGGGGGGGGGTGGGGTGTCCCCAACTAGTCCTTGGGGTGTGGTCTCTTACAGACTTCACTTTTAAATGTTTGAAGAGCCACTACAGGAAAAATACAGAATTTAAGAACTGAAACTGTTCATGATGTGCCTGGATTTTGTTCTCTGTATATAGAAGCCCCTGCGGTCTAACGTGATGTTTGCAGAGCAAGTAAAAATTGAGGGGAAAGGCTCTGTGTGTGTTTAAGCATTTCAGGAATCTTAGATGGTGCTGTAGAAGAGTAACTGTAGAGAAGAACGTGTGTTAGATGAGTCTCTGAAATTTTCAAGTGTGGAATAAACAGAGAACTAGAAATATTGGTGGATCTTGGCAGTGGTAGGCTTGTCCGTTCAATTTCTGATTGTGATTTATCCTGCTCGCGACTCCTCCCATTACTGTTAAAAGCTGCAATATGAATTAATTTTTAAATACTTGGGATGCCTGAAATCATTGTGGCTTTTCCTCCCCTCCCCAGGGCGCCCATCCAACATGTACTTCCAAACCCATGACCAGATCGGGATGATAAGTGCTGGCCCCAGCCATGTCACTGCTATGAACATTCCTATCCCCTTCAACCTCGTGATGCCACCGATGCCACCACCGGGATACTTTGGCCAGGCTAACGGACCAGCCGCAGGTACGGGGGTGAGGGTGAAATGGTACAAAAAGCCATGTGTTAGGGCTGAAGTCAGAGAACGGTTTTTGCTACTCCTGCAGCAGTGCTGGTGAGAGTAGATAACGATGTGCTTTGCTAATAAATCTGAGTTGTATGGAGTACAAACACAACAGCACTGCAGCCTCCAGTGTCCCTTTGCCATGTCTACGCTGGTGGTTATGCCTTTTGAGTACATGTAAAGCATTGCCTCTCGTGAGTGATGAAGTTTTTAGAGAAAAATAGTTAATTCTCACATGTTTACGTGTGTAAGGCCTCTCACTGTTGGTTGGGATAAACGCTTTTCCAGGACGTGGGGCGCCAAAAGGAAAGACTGGTCGTGGTGGGCGCCAGAAAAATCGTTTTGGGATTCCTGGAACTAGTCAGTCAAACCTTCCAAATAGTCAAGCGAGCCAAGATGTGGTGTCCCAGCCTTTCTCCCAGGGTCCACTGACTCAGGGGTATATCTCCATGAGTCAGCCATCGCAGATGAGTCAGCCTGGGCTCTCCCAACCAGAATTATCACAGGTAAGCAGAATTTGATGTCTAGTCTGCTCCTTTTCCTGGGTTTTCTGTCTGTGATCTGTGTGCATGTGCATCTTTGTTCTCTAATACTGAGGAAAATGGAAACTAAAACAGTTTTCGATGACTCAGCCACAGATTTTGTACTGCTCCGCTTGGTGGACTGGCTAAGTACCCTCAGGTGTAAAAGTGAAATGGTGCGTGTATGGACTTCAACTCGAGCCTTAACTTTGAACTGCTGGCCTGTTCAACAGCCAGCTATTGCAAAAGCCTATGTATTTGTGGAAATCCTGCAGCAAAAAGAGTAGATTTTTTTTTTAAAAAAAAAAAACAAACACCAAAAACAAAAACAAAAAACCAACAACAACAAAAAAACAAAACCAAAAAACCCCACAACCAAACAAAAATAATCCCCAACAAACCCAAACCTCTCAGACTTTACCATTAACCTGGGCTGCCAGGCATTCTGCTTTGTAAGGGAGCACTTGAGCTTGATAATGAGTAGGAGGCTTAACACACACACACTTTCATTTTCAGGACAGTTACCTTGGTGATGAGTTTAAATCTCAGATTGACGTGGCGCTGTCACAGGACTCTACTTACCAGGGTGAACGTGCATATCAACATGGCGGAGTGACGGGACTGTCACAGTATTAGAGTGTAAGGCACCTGAGGTTCACTCCTCTCCTTACTCCCTGATTCAAGTTCATGAACACAGTGGCTGTCTTAAGAGCGATGTTCCTAACGCAGCTGTTTCGCTTGCTTGCTTTCAGGTTGAGGAAGAAGAGCTAAGCTTGTGTGGAGCTTAGTTCATCAGCATTTTATTCTGGGTAATAAAAAAAATAAAATAAAATGGATACCTGTTTTCCACTGCTAAAACTGAAGCACCACTGTGTGAGAGCAACAGGAGAAAGAAACCAACCAACGGAGAGGAGAGAAAGAGAAAGGAGCGCGCGAGAGAGAGCCCACTGCTAGCTCACTGAGACAAGGAGACTGACCGGAGAGGAGAGAGAGCACCGAAGGACTGGCTGGCGCCTCACGGGGAAGGCAACTCACCCTGAAATGAGTGGTCAGCTGAGTCCCTGCTCCCCCAGTCAAAGCAGCTTGAGAGAAGGGCCTTAAGCAGGTTTCACTTCATTCCATACTTCTCTTTGCGAGCAGGGCATTACTTTTCAGAGCAGATGGGGAGAGGAAAACCCTCATCTCAGAGTTGTTCTCGTTTTAAAGGGGTACTATATTTTAGCAGTAACTGTTTACATTTTAGAAGCAGAGTATCTTGAGAGAGAGAGAGAGAGTTCCTGACTAAGTGACAGCAAGCCAAGCAGAAATCCAGCGGAACGTAGCTGATGCTCAACTCTGAGATGCAGGTTTTGTTGTCCAACACTGGCTCTGAAATCCTAGTGTCATCGTGTCGCCCACATTCTGAACGGGTCTTTCGTGACAAGGTGGTTTTAAAGAGATTCTTTCAAAGGAGCACTGAATTTTTAGTAGTTTTGTCTCTGAATTCTTAGTGGTGGACCTGGGAGATCCTTGTTCTGAGAAGCTTACAAAAAAGTTTAAAACAAAACTAAATTAGAGCACCAACCTTGAGAACTTTCAGTGTGATTAAAAGTTGCAGCAATCAGCCTCTTCTTCCTACATTGGATAGCAGTTAGAGTGAAAGGAGCCTGCGCGCTCGAGCAGGAGGAGGGTTTCAAAGTGTTTTCTGTATGCTTTAAGTGGCTACTGTCTGGACTCTACTCTGTGAAAAACAAGCCTTTCTGTAAGATGAACTTTGCGCTTGAAAGGGGATGGGTTCCTGTGCCCTTCGGCCCTGGAGGATAAGATGCTAACAGGCCTGCTTTACTCGCTCCCTCAGACCTGGGGAAGAAGTAGTGGAAACTGGGGATTATATTGGTTTTGAAGTAAAGACTCTACAATGCTACCGAAGCAGGTTGGAAAAATGGACAAAGCAGGCAGTTGTTGGAAGGTGGCCTCTGATAGCTGGGTATAATTAGAGATAATGGGTTAGGCTTTTGTGTGGCTTCTTCGGTGATTAATGCAGATAGCTGAAAGATTCAGGTGTTGAAAAACCAAACCCGGAGCCTATTTTTCAGGTAGTGGACACTGCTGTGCCATCGATGCTGGCTTGAGAAATAGCTGGAAGTCAAAACTGAAAACAGCACATAAGAGAAGCCATCCAATTTCTAAGTTGTACCCATGTCTTAAATAAGTCATATGGGAACACTGGGAGCATTTTATTTCTGTCTAAACCTTTTTAGAAACAGCGCAGAGAATTTAAAATTCCTACAGACCCATTTTTATCAGATCCCTAAATTAGACTAACCTCTACCTCCCAATTGGCAAAGAACAGTAGAGCGTGATTCACTAACCTAGGTGTTTTTAAAGTTTGAATTAAGTTAGCTTTATACTCAAAGGGCTCCAAGTGTTTCTAGTCTTTTTTTGGGGGGGAACTCAAAATACCTCTCATATGAATGTACTTAAATGACGTAAAAACCCACTTTTTGTAACTGGGGGGGAAAGCCCTTTCATTACTGTCCTTTCTGTAGATTGTTGACCCGCTTTCATAACCTGTATTTGCTGTAGTTTTCCGGAGTGTCTCTCCCCCAGTGCAGACCTGGTGTAGCACACCCACAAACCGTGAGTAGCGTGCACATAAACATGGAGCAGGTGTTCAAAATTTTCTTTCAGTCCTGCAGCGAACGTAGTTCAAGAACTGCAAAAGAAACTTTCCAGAAACGAAACCCATTCTTTTCTCATAAAAAGCCTCCAGAGTTTAGACTTCTAAAACGTGAAAGAATGGAGACACAGGCCACCTTCCTTCCTTGTAAGATGGACTGTTTTATTTATTAACATTGCCGAAGGGCTTTTTAATTTTTTTTTTCCTTCTGTAGGCTGCATAGCTGCATAGACTTTTCCGATAGGTTTAAGCTGTAACCCCTCTGTGCAATGCAATCCATTTGAGTAATGTAACCCCCTCCTCTCCCCTCACCCCCTTTATTTCACTGATGGGAATGCTTGCCTCTGCTTTGTGCTGGTTTTTTCCTTTGTAGCAGTTACTCTGAGTTTTATAAATCCAGACATCAGTGCTAGCACGGTGTTAACTCTTTTTTGATTTTGTCTCAGTTTGTTTTAAACCTGTTTGTCATCAATAAAATATTAATAAACAGCTCTTGCATTCAAGGTGGCCCCTAACTTTCAATGATGAAACCATGCACCATTCATTAAACCTTAGTCCGATTGTATAAACTGCCAAGTTTATTACTTTTCTTAAACACAGACTGGTACAAAAGTGTGGTGTGTGCACAGTGTACACAGGTAAGCAGATGGAGGGTGAAGACACGGTCCAATGCCCTACCCCTGTCCCTCCTCTGGCTCACAGGGGCCTGTTCTGTGCCCAGCGCCGGGGTGCAGGGGCAGAGCCGCAGGAGGTGCGAGGGGCTGGAGGTGACCTGGAACCTCTCCTCCCTCCTGCTTCCCTTGTGCTGCAGTAAACGTGGAAAGAGCTCAGCAAAGCTTGGCCTGGCTGGCTCGGGCTCTACTGCAGCACAGTGCCAGCCTTTAGGCCTGGTCTCAGCACCACCCTGTGTGTAAGCTCAGTGCAGCGACTGCGGGGCTGTCTGGGTGTCTGGCCACTGCTGTAACCCACCCTCCTCCCACCCCTTCCCCCCCTCTTGCTGCTTGGGGGGGGACAGTTGCCCTCTGTCCTCTTGGAGAGCCGGGTAAGCCCCGCATTAAATGAGCTGAGCCCTTAGTCTGCCACAGCACAAAACCCAAATACTTCAAGCTTTTCTTGATCCTGCCCACCTTAAATGTGAAAGAAACAGCTCCTGCTTGCTTTAGTTAAATCCTACTCTAAGCCCTTAAAACATTTAAGTGCTTGAAATGGGTTGCAGCACAGCTCGTGTTCAGCTGCTGGAGTAAAGCGGGGCTGGCCCCCGCCCGGGGCTCGCTGCTCCTCCGTGGCGCTGTCAGGAACCACGTTTGGATGCGAGAAGGTTCGTACGCTACCGGACTAAAGCACTTGAGCTGCTCCCCTCTGGGCCTTGGCTACGCAGGTCAGGGCTGGTAGCAAAAACCCGCTCACAGGGGAGACAGACAGACGGACGTTCCTCTGCAAACCCAGGAGTGGTTAAACCTTAGTGCTTCCCCCGAGGGAGAAGGCCCAGCTTAGCCTGGTAATACTTCATCAGACGCTGAAGACGATACAACATCAGTACAGAAACAACAACAAAATAATAATTCTGCTATGTTGTCAGGTTCCAAGTTTAAAAAAAAAAAAAAACAACAAACAAAAAAATTCAAGTCTAACTCAGATGCCTTTTCCCTC